AAATATGGCACAAAGGAACAGGCTCATGATGATACTTGGGATCATGCTAGAAAGATAAACGAGAACTATCATTATTGACTATATCAACAAAGGTGAAGGAATCACCCAAGTGAAGATGCATTAGGCTAATAGTTATCCTCCCGTTACAAAATGTAAGAAGGTTTCGATGAGGGTCTGTAAATCATTTCAAGATAAGTTATAACAAGCAAGAGAAGATATAATAAAAAAGAAGATAAAGAGTTAAGGAAGAATATATAGAATTATCATAGGAATCGATTTATGACAAATATAAGGGTTGTGACGATGAAATTGATCCAAATCTCGAAGCTAGTATTCATACATCATTGGAGTATCAATACATATACGCAGAAGCAATGAGATATTGATGACTTGAATCACAATGAGAGCATAGTGGTGATAGTAGGTCTATGCCATAAGAAATCCAAAGGTCGACCAACGTGAGATAACCAACTGCCCCTCCTTTGTTAAGTCAAATTAGTAGCATAAGGTAGGGTAGAATATATGATTTTATAATAGTACTTGGCAGGAGATCAATACTAGATATTATTGATATTGATCCGTAAACCTATCCTTTATAAATTACGAAGCAAACATGAATTGACAATGTATATACAAAAGAAAAGAATCAAGATATTGGGAAGACAATTGCAAAATAGTTTAACTTCCATAGGATTCCAACAAATATAATCCAAGATCGCTATTATAAGAGTATGGTCTCCTTTATTCAAAATTTTAGCATGAGGATCTAACCTCCAATACCAAAGGAGATCCATGGTGTATATTTAGATGATGAGGTAGTAGAGTTGAAGGATTAGATCAAATCCTTCAAGAGGTAGTGGGACGAATATGGGATGACATTGACGTATGCCAGTTTGACTAGATTGATAAGAATAAGTATTATCAATTTTCTTATTTATTTCAATAGACGAATGGTTTTTCATAAGTTAGCTAATGTTTTTTATAAGATTTAAGATGTAAACTATATTGAAAACATAATAGACATCGTAGTAGAGGAGATCGAACCATAGTATATCATTTAGATAATCATTGACAATGGATCCAATTTTAAGAAGGTTGATTTACAATTGATGAACGGAAAGAAAATATTATTTTGGACTCTATATGCAGTTCATTGCATAGATCTAATACTAAAGGATATTGGTAAGCTATCATCAGTCAATAAGTGTGTAGCTCGAGCATAATTAATCACAAAGTTTATATATAATCATCATTTGGTACACTCTTTAATTTAAAAGTATATAAATTATGAGATATTCAAACTTGGAGTCACTTGGTTGGCTACAAATTTTATTGCCTTAAGGTCAATACAACAAAAGAGGTAAGGCCTCAAGGCAATAGTCCGATTCTAAGTATTCGAGATATAGTGATAGAAAAAAGATGGAAAAACCTATATTTTTCTTCTAGATTTTAGGATTTCATGAATGAAATCATAACATAAGTGGAATCACTTTACGTTGTCCTCTATAAGATCGATATGGACAAGTATTCTCAAATACTTTATCTTAGACATATGTTGATTAAAGCAATAAGGAAGTCAAGAAAGCATTCAAAGATGATGTTAGGGCCGAGTAATACGTATAGATCATCGATCACAGTATTAAAGTTCATATAGATCTAGATATCCATAATATAGGTAAATTTATATTCAATATAGTTTAATTTATAATTTTTTTAATATTTATAATTCTTACTAATAAAATTATTTATCTTGCAGTGTATTATCTAAATCCGATCATTTAATTTTAGTATATTCTTGGAATACAATCATATTTATTGTCAGCATTAAGAAATGTTATATATTGACTCTTGTCAAATACTATCAATGTAGTCGATACTATTATAGAGGATTGATTATTTCAAAACATAATTAGTTTATTCTCTGACATTATAGTTATATCGTGTTGTTATAATATGGATATTGACGAAGAAAAGTTGTACACATGTTAGTTGTAAACTATATTTAATAATTATTTACTATGCTAATAAAGTCATATTTATATCCTTTTGTAATTGAGTGGTGTCGGAGGGGACGCATCAAAATTTAATTGGTTAATGTACATATTGATTCACATGAATGCTTACAATAGTCTATTATACAGATAATTGGATAAATTGGTATATGTTTACTATAATATATGACCAAAATTGTAGTGTGTCCAACTAGACAAGAAGTTAGAGGAAACAAATATTGATCCTATCAATCTTCAATTCTATAGTGAAGATTTAAAGCCAATATTAGAGTGAGAAAAAGCAGTGGAGAACTAAGAGAATCCTCTATTTTATGAGGTGGGAGATCCTCAATGTCCTATATGTTTTATTACTGAGGCAATAGAAAAAGATGAAACATATCCCCAATAAGAGGAAGATCCCCCTCGATCAAAACATGGCAGAAGGAGCCAAAAACATCAAGTTAGATTGCTTGAGAAACTAAGATACCCAACCATTATGTAATATGTCATATGTATAAAGGCAAAGGCAAAGGGGAAAGTGGTAGCATAAGTTGCACCATTAGAAAGAATCGATGTGGATGACAAAACACTTTCTCAATCACATTTAACAACCTGCTCAATGATATTGATAATAATGCCTCAATTGATGATGGCAGTGATGTCGGGGAGTTGATGGTCCCTTTTAACCAATTTGAGAATGGTGCATGAACTAAGAAGTATTATTTTATATATGTCATTAAAGATTCAAATCATAGAGTTTGATAAGGTACTAGTTAAGTTTATATATGGAAGAGGAAGGGGAAGGAGAAGGCAATGGCTGATTTTGAGCAAATGCGATAGAGAGCCTACATGATGTAGACACTGAGCAGAGCTCATCATATTTAT